TTATATCAGGCCATGATGAAATTGCACTTAAATTACCTGATAAATTCGTTGGTATATAATTATAAATCCATCTATTAGTAGATGACTCTAATTGACTTTGAGCAAGGCGTGCAACAAGACTATGTCCGATTGGTCCCCAACCAAAAGCACAAAGAATTCTTTGATAGAATAGAACGAAGTACAATTTCGATATTGACATGATATGAATTGTATATTAACGAACGAAAAGAAAAACAACTGAGATAGAAAATAATAAACATCGATAGGGGTCAAATCAATAAACGATCAAAATGGACGGATCATATGACTCATTGTTTATTATATAATTCTATTTCGTTTGTTTATCTTCTGTTAAAATTAATTAAATGAACAATAAAAATACATTTTAAAAATTTCTTTTTCTGTTTTTTCTAAACAATTAAATAGCATTTATTTAACTCTGTGATGGACAGTGATACATATTTGTACCATTTTTTTGTTTTCGATTGCAAAACTATAATAAACTAGGATCAGTGATTCTTGTAGAAAGAAGGATGGTACTACATAGACGGAATTAATTTCTAGTTACTTCAGTTCAAGTAGCAATGTTTATCTGTTTCTTCAACAGAGAGTTTTGAAGAAGGTTATCACTAATTCTCTCTTCGAAAAGAGACTCGATAGACGTTAGCAAATCGAAAGGTTGAACATGTGCTTTGTTTCAAATATAAGTTATATTTGCATTGTCCTTTCTGTAACAGTGAGCTCGTTATTTACGTTGTATAGCACATGGTTGTTGCGCCACCCGTTTGATACAAAACAAGCACATGATGGTGCAATGTATTTTAAGTAAAACGGATGCAACAGACTAACAACACTGGCATCACACATACAGTACTTCAGTATTGTCGATCTGGCTCTCGTGTATGATAATGTAGATTACGGTCTATTTGACTGCATCATCAGTATCGACAGAACTTCACCAACCAAAATTCGTCCATTAAAGGGTTAAAAGAATGGAATAAAATTTGAAATAGATTGATCTTTATCGAATACAAAATAACATCAAAATGTTTCCTAAAACAATTCACAAGGTCGATTTAGTTGACTCTATCTCGTGCCAGGGTGGCCGAGTGGTTAAGGCGTTGGACTTAAGATCCAATTCACAATAGTGAGCATGGGTTCGATCCCCATCCCTGGCAAATTCTTTTTTAGTCAGAATTTACATTATGCAACACTAGTTATTGAAGTCAATTCCATCCACATATTTTTATTTTAAACTCGATCCTAGAAATTAATTTTTTTTAGTTTTCTAGAGCTGAAATCACATTCTATGTCACAGAACTAGTAATAATATGGTTTATGAGTCATGATGTCTATGACACACTTCGAAGTGCCATGTTCGAGCCTGGTTATCGTCTGATGTTGAAATAACTTAAAGTATGTAATCTATCAAACATATTCATGCAGTTACTTCGCGAAGATGGCTTTTCATTAGATAAGTTTGATTAAAACAATTTGTACACTACGAGTAGTCTAAATTTTTCATAATCATTTTTCCACGACACTTGCTTGATCTCTGTTGTTTTGATTATCTAGACAAGCAACGAATGAAAATAAAAAATGATTTCCCTCTTTATAAGATAGGAAAATGTTCAAAAAACCAATACCTCAACGATAAAATGAAACATAGGAACCATAATGTTTTTCAAAATTCAACTTATCTCTATCATTATAGAACATAGGTCTCTAATTTTCATACTTACCAATATACTTAATAAATATCAGTCTTGTTGTTCTTTCTTAAATATAGTGTAGCTATATCTTCTCCCTAAGACATCGACTACACATAAATAGTATTGCTTTGTTCTACCAATGCCCAAGTTGATTTCTAAAGAAAAGTGATAAATTTCCTACTAACTATATTCATTCATTCTAATATAACTATATGATTATACGCCTCATTGAATCGAATATTATATAATATAACAAGTAACCACCTTTGTATTTTGCTTTGAAACTCATTCTCCACCGGAAGACAAAGGATATGAACTTGTTCGACTTGTAAAAAAAAAGACAGTCTCATAGATAAGCTCTTAATGAAGAAAAAAGCAGACAGATCTTCTGAGATGCTGTAAAAATAATAATTAGCTAAGTTTATTTGCATTTTTGTATTAGATTTCTCCGAAAAGCCACATGTAGCATAACTGTTATATGTATTCGATCGAAGAATTATTCATTACTATTCAAATAAATCTTAGTTGAAGAATAAGAAAGAGAAATAGTATGACCACTTTGAGTACCATTGAGAAATTTATCTCATTCTAAATATCAAATCAAGAGAATTATGCAAATAGATAAAGATAAGATTGATTAAATAAATTAGTAGACTATAGCTCTTGTTTATTTTGTTAACTTTGTTACAACAAAAAAATAGATACTTGTGCATTTACATGAAAAAAAACCTACAGAATGAGATAATTTAACCATAAAGAAGATAGATACGAAATAAAAAGAAATTCTTTCAATATCTTGTTGAATAATAATATGAACAAAGATGAAAAAAAAAATTAATCTGTTGATACATAAATAACTTTAGTCTCTTGATTATGTTTTATGAATTTTATTTACAAATCATATTTCTTCCATTCCATTCCCTAAATGAATAAAAGAAACTCGAGATTATTAAAACAAAGAAAATCAAAATGAACTGACATCAGGTGGTTCACAAGTTACTCGACCTTTGGATACTTCTTCCCAATTCATATTTAAACATGTACCACCAGATTCATACTAAAAATAAATATTTCTACTATTTCACAGTTAAAGAAAAAAAGATGAGAATACACTTGCCATCGATTTGTTCATTGCACGACGTGTATTTTCATCACTATCTCGATACAATCTTTGAAAGATACTAGAAAAATATGGGTTTTATAAAAAAAAAAAAATAACACAAAACCAAAAGAAAACAATAACTTACGCATTACTATCACCCATATCATCCTGATTTTCTTTTTCATCCTTTTTTATTTCAGCTTCCAATTTATCCCAATTTTTTGCACGTTGACTTGATGATGGATAAGTTGGAGCTTTTTCAACTAAAGGTCGACTCATTGGAACTAGAAATATCATATATAGATAAACATAAAACAGTTAACAATATTGTACCTGGTGGTAGAGCTTTAGTTGCTGTTGATTGAGCATCCAATGACGTCCACTGTATAGCTTGTCGTTTATATAATTTTATTTCAATCTATCATCGAGACGGAAGAATGTCATATAGAAATGAAAAAATAACATAATATCTATCTTACATTTGAACTAGTAACATTGAAATTTGTACGTGACGAATCAATTGGATAAGCAAGATCAAGTGCAAGTGAATAATCATGACCAGAAGAAGGTATTTTCGTATTGATGTTAATCTAAACAAAAATATTATTGACACTTAATTTTATCAACTTGAAATTTAATAAAGCTATACAAACAGTTGTATCTGTTGAGTGGACTTGAACTTGATCTTTTTTAAGACCTTTAATAGGAATTTGAATAGTAACAACACTATCTGTTTGATAGAATGAATGTCTAAAAACAACAACTCATAATTATGAACAAAAAAAAAAAGAAAAACCTATGAAGCATACTTAATTTTCGCCGGTGGTAATGGATGAACAGGTGTAATATTCGTAGCTAACTTTTCTTTTTCAATAGACATAGCTATAGGAACAGATTTTTTTTCTACGTTAAACTAAAACTATAAATTAATTAATCAAGAAAATTGTATACCTGTTAATTCTTTTTCACATATATGCTGCCATATTTTTAACTGTTCATTAGCAGCTGGAAAAATAAATAGAATATAAATTTTTTAGTAAAACGAGATGAATATAATCAACTTACAATCAAATTCAAGTCCACGAACAAATACTTCCAGAGCTTCTTCTTTTAAATCTTGATTATATAATGAAACACCTTTGCGAATATATGCTTTGATATTTGTTTCATCCAATTGAATAGCATCATTACTGTCCTTCAATGCATCTAGAAGAAAAAGTAACAACAATATAGTGGTATTCGCTTCAAAAAAAAACAAACTCGTACTTACCTGCATAGTTTTTTAATTTTAAAGAACATTGAGCACGTGATGCCAAGATTTTAGAAGTAAATCGATGATCAGTTTTATCATCGTTCACAAGAGCTTTTGTATAAAACTAGATGATAAATTTTTACTATGAAGGAAAAGAGAAAAATTTTTTTTAAGAACAAACTTCATGTGCTTCTTCATATTTCTCATCAACAAAAGCTTCGTTTGCTTGTTCAAAAACTTGTTTCGACATAATAGTTGTTTAACTTTGTGTGAATATAAATGAATGAAATAACTGATAAAGAATGGGCTGAAGAAAACAATCGAACAAAGAATTTAAATTCTATTTGTTAACATATTTGTTAGTCGATCCTTTTTCAAAAGATATGTGAGATGACGCAAGTTGTTAGGAAAATAATTTCTTTTAAATAAAGTAAAAGTTAATCTAACTTATTTATGCAACAGCAAAATATTCTACACATGTTATATGGAAAGTTCAGAAATTTAATATCTTGTCGAACTCAACAAGTACATAAGTAGTTCGATCATCCAAAAAAAACATACAACTGCCAAAAATTATTGATTTATTTTCTTCTCACGTTAACGAATGGTATTTGTTTCATTTTTTTTATCAATAGAATCTTTCATCAATCCTTTAATAATTGTATTGTGCAAAATTTTTCTGCTGATCATTGAAAAATATGACGAAGTTTGACATCAACACAATAGATGAAAATCTTTTTTTTTCCTTAATGAATAAAGCCAAAAGAAAAGAAAATGATATCATTGTCACTATGTTCTAATTTTATTTTTTGTTCTGTACTAGAAAATAAAATAAATAGTATAATTCACAATAAAATATTCTTTGCAATAATAAAATTGGCAAATTCATCTATCTATTTACAAGATAAAAAAAATATATAATAAAATTCAAATTTTAATTTTTTTCTCTATCATGAACGTCTTCTGTATTCATTGAACTTCCACTATTACCAAAAAAGAATGAACCAAATGCTCCATTAGTAGATGTTTCATTACCACCTATATTGAATATTGATGAAAACAGAAAAATTTTAATTAAATTAAAAGAAAAATAAGAAACATACCACCAAAACTAAATGAAGCAAATGAAAACGAAGTATCCACACCATTATCACCATTACTTGTTTGTTGCAAAAATGCAGGAAATTGTTCATTAGAATCTGTTCTTATTGGTGAACCAAGATTATTAGTCCAATTACCAAAATTAATCGGTGATGTAAAACTTCCACCACCAACAGTGGCATCACCAGTTGCACTACCATTAAAACCAAAATTATAGTTAAAACCAGTATATCCACTAAATAGATTAAATTCATCATTTATTTAATAATGCATTGATATATAAATAAAAATTAATGATCTTACTCTTCAGTACTTGTAGTCGATTCAATAGATGAAATCATTGAAAATGTAGGTCGTTGTTGCTGTTGTTGTTGTTGTTGTTGTGATTGTTCGGAATCATCTTCCATTGGTTGTGGTGATTGTTCTTCATTCATTGATGATGGATCCGGTGAAAATGTTAATAACATTTGTTGTACATCATTACTGGTCACTTGAGGTTGAATACATGATGTAGCTGATGGTATTGGTTGATTTTGAATTCGTGAAGATGGAAGTTGGAATGCTACAGTTGAATGTAATTTATTGACAGTAGTATTAGTAGATGGCATTGATATCGATTCAGAAACTTGAATATTTATTGTTGGTGTAACAATATCACGTACAGAACTCGATTCAAGTGGAGTTGGTGTTGAAACAATAGTAAATACTTGTGTAAGTGATTGATCATTTTGAGATATAGATGACACTTCTTGATCGACATCTATATACGAATTTATTGTATTTGTTGATACCATAAATGCTTGTGTACTTGGTGGAAAGTCATTGATAGTCATTTGTTCCAACTATTTCTCTTATTTGAAAATAAAATAAATTTTATTTTAAAATTCTTACTTGAGCTGTTGGTATTTTTCGATGAGATTTTGAGAATAATTCATCATCATCATCATCAATAGCTGTTGTAAGATGAAGCACCGATGAACGATTTGACTTCATAGGTACATCTTTCATCATGTTTGGAACAATTTCTATTGTAGAAGCAATTAATTGAGTTGATGATGGTGTAATGACTTGATGTACAGTTTCATCATGAATAATCGATGTTGATGATTGAAATCTAAGAATAAGAATATGAACAAATTATTCTTTGAGTTAAAAAAATTCAAATAATCGATATTCAAGTATTTTTTTTTTCGTATAACTTCAAGATGAGATTAAACATATTGTGAAGATTTTTCAAACATCAATTTAATAAACATGAAAATTAATAATATACGTGTTATACGATAGAAAGAGAAACTCACAAATCAAGATAGCTTAAGTTAAACATTGTTTATTAATCGATTGAATAAGATAAAAGAAAAACATATTTCTAAGAAATAATCGACTTACATAGCAGATGGTTTATTGTTAGTTTGTTCTTCTGATACTAATTCAATTTGTTCATTTTGTGGTGTTAAAACTGATGGTGGTGCTATTGGTGTTGCTGGTTGTGACCAACTATCGTATTGTATTTGATTAAATGAAAGTGTTAAAGCTTGTTCAATATTAGTTTGTAAACAAAAATCCAATAAATCACGTTTTATGGGTTGTGTATAAACATTTTCCCATGCTTTCATTTTATCAATTTTACTTTCTATTAATTCCTTCTGTTTATTTTCAAGTTCAATTAATTTTTCTTTCATTTGTTTGATTTTCATTAATTGATCACGTCGAGAAATAAAATATTTAGCAATAGATAAAATTGATGATTGAAAGTTTTTTTCATTACAAAATTCTTGACGACGTGTTAAATAATCTTTATATGCTAATTTTTGTTTATTAAGTAATGTATCTCGACGTTCAACAAGTATATTATAAGCTAAATCACCTTGTTTTAAATATTGATAAACTTTTGATTGTTCATATCTGAAATATATTTAAAATGAACATAAAATAATTTTCTCTCTCCCTGTTCACTCCCATAGAATAGTAGCTCATTGAGATTCTAATTTGTTCTACAAGTCAAAAGTTTCGAGATAAATTTTTATTGCGACCAACTTTTTTTGTATTGTAGCTATGATTTGATTCGTTCACAAGCACTAAAGTGTACAAGATTCAATAGATTGAAATCTTCAAATTGTCTAAGAACCTTGATACGATCTATGATAGTTTTTATTGAACTAATAATTCATTGCTTTACTTCTCCAGTTCCACGTTATCAGATAACCTGAGCAATGTGTTTATTACACTACTTTTCTCATTCACAAATTCACCTGTAACCAACACTTTGTGGATCTTAATATAGATATATTAAATCGCTCTTATTGTGATAATTTGGTTTGAGAAACTATTGAACTTTGCAGGAGTTGAAAGAAAAAACTTCTTATGAGACATGTACTGATACGGCTCTGTCAGATAACGTCATCTTAGAAGCTTATTTACAGTTCAGAAACGCAAGGAGATATATTCCAATTATTTTGAAGTATAAAGTAAACCGTTTACTACCAAATGAGAGCTTCTCATTTTTTTTATGAAATAGAGTAGTTCAGATCTTATGAGTGTTTCAATAATGGATATCGTATTCGTCTTATACTGCCATTCGTTTTTTGAGTCCGAAAATTTTTCGCATAATATCAACTGACTATTGTTCAGTTTTGTGAGATGTCTTATATTTTTGAGTAAAAGGTTTGTCTATATTTCTATTACTTTCATAAAAATTTATATCGTTTCCTTGCTAGACTTTGTTTAACCACTAACAGGAAGAAGCCGAACAAAATGGTATTAAAGCATGCCAATTTTCTATTCCCCAGTTCCTGAACAGCTGTCTCTCATTCATGTCCCCATGTACACATTTTTCCACTCACAAAACAAACTGGTGTACTCGTTACTAGAAAAACATATAGAACAAATAAAATTAGGTATATCAAAGAAGTTACAACTAACCAGCGAAAAGCGATGAACTGATCTATTCGATGATTTACATTTCTGTTTTGCACTCATTCGTATAGTTCCGACTTTTATTACATTTGGAAGATTATGAGCTTGAGACTGAGTTTCTATTCTGTGGGGGTTAATAGAATAAAATGCATCGAAATACGAACTGTGGTTTGAAAATTTCAGTCCATTGTTGTTTGATACGTTCAAATTTATTAATAAGTGATGATTTTTCTTGTTCATATTTTCGTTCTTCATTTGTACAATCACGTTTGATTGAATCTAACATTGAAAAAAAAAGAAATATTATTTGTTTTTTCAAAAGAAGAAAATTGAATAATGTTTTATTTTTTTATACTATTATGATCATCAAGCATTTGAATATTAAATTGAAGTTCTTTAATTCGAAGTTGTTCAGATTGAAGTTGTTGTTCACGAATAGAATTGTCATGTTCAATATTTGCCAATTTTGTTGTTAATTGTATCTTTTCATTTTCCATTAATTCATTACGTTTTTTCTTTTCTATTTTAACAAGAAAAAATCCTTTATAGATCTAATACAAAATCAACGTCATTAATCAATCACCTTCATTAATTCCAATAATTTTTTGAAGTTTAAATCGTTTTTCTTTAATTTTATTACCTTTAAAAGACAGTAGTAATTACTCAAATGTTATAAAACAGTTGATGGTTTGATTACTTAAACATTGTACCAGCATTTCAGCTCGACTTGTATCAATATGATTTGGTCCAAAAATAAAGAGTGGTGATTGTGATCGTTCCATTGATGAATCCATCTAAGATATTCAAAATAATTATTTTGTTTTTAAAGAAATAAGTAGCACGTTAAATTTCCCTCCGACGCTTAATTCGTTGGTTTTGAAAATGAGAAAGAAATTCATTTAAAAAGGAAAAAATCTCGTATTACTACAACGACATTAGATGAGCGCAGATGCCGCTAGATATATTCATTTTCTAACTGAAGAAGAGCATTTGGTTGGTTTATTTTAGTATTAGGATTGGTGTAAAATTAAACCATTAAAAACTCAATGATGCAAATTCTCATTAGATTATTTCTAGTTTTTTACGAAGTTTTTTTCTATGCTATGTTTAAGAAAATTCGTGCTAAATTGCCGGATTTTCGATTTATAGCTTACGTCATATCAAATTCAATTCCAGGAAAAAAACTTTTTGGTGATTGGCGTTTTCCACCAATTTTCTTTGTAGCTGGTTTTCTTTTTGAAATTGTTCTTTGTAAACTACGTATTAACAATATTAATTTCTGTAAGTTATCTGTTTTTCACAAGATAAAAACCTTTTTTTTCTAAATATGATTTATTTTAAATAGACGACGTTTATAAACGTAAACAAGCACAAGAATTTGTTGCGAAAAAACATCAACTTGAAGAATATCTAAAAACAATTTCTCTTCAACCACCACCACCATCATCAACACTCAACAATTAAAATCAAACAAATACTTTGAAAATCTGGTTTGGTAAAAAAAACAAAAAAGATGTTTATTTCTATGGTTTGATTTACTAATGAATATTTGTTTGTTTAGAATAATGAATCCGTTACGTCGTCTTTTCTATTTATCTGTAGCCAACACCATAGCATTCATAATTGGTGCTCAAACTGCTCATATTTGGCTAAATCCCATGAAAGATTATAAAGATTTTATAACAAGAGCAGAAGCTGAATATCAAGCTCATCAACAAGAATTACGTGATGTAGATGATTATTTAGAGCAAAAACGTCAAGAACGTTTAACACAAATTAGCTAATTTGTTTTTGTATGGACTTCTGATGATTTTCTATTAGTTAATTTTTCAAAAAAAAAATAAAAAAAAAAATAAAAAAGCCGATATTTCCAAAAACAATTATGTTTATAGTTGAGACTTTGATTTTTTTCAATAAGTTTTAGATAAATGTCTTCGAATGATAACAATAATAATCCTCCTCCTGCTGAAGCACAAGGTATATAAAGAAACAAATATGTTTCTTTTTTAAATATAATTTACCTTTAGGTGGAGATGCTCCTGCATTAGGTTTTGAAGATGCTGTCGAACAGCAACCAGATTTAGATGAAGAAAATAGAAGACGTTTTCCACAAATACCTGCATTAGCATTGCGTCCTTGGGAAGGTATTGAACAACAACCAATAGGAGATGAAGATGATGATGCTGATGATGAACAAGAAATGAATGTTCTTGAAAATAATCTAAATCATGAACAAGAACAACTCAATCGTTTGCAAGGTATAGTGATAAAATCATTTTCTTTTTGGCAATTTAATATAATTGATTGTATTTTAAAAGAACAAATACGTAATATTCAACGACATTTATTATTCGATTTAAATAATCAAGGAGAAGGTTTAGAAGACATGGATAATGATGATGATGATGATGATGATGATGATGACGATGATAATAATGAAGATTGGGAAGACGCAGAAGTTGGTAAGATTTGACAAAAATAAACAACTATTAGAATAAACAAGAGTCTTTTATTCATTAAGTTCGATACACAGTGAGCATGCAAACAATCAATAAGGTTTAGAGAATGTAAGGAAATAAGAATTATTATCAGATTTGCAAAGGTAAGGACTCCAAAAAATCAAAAACTCTAGTTTTTTTGAACATTTGGAATGCGTAAATATAATTTTGTTTAAATTACATAGAACGATAGAGTTAATTATCCTCTACAAAATGAGAGATTGCTGAGTTCTCTGCGACATTTTTTGACTGAGCTACAGTCATTTGGTTGAAGGCCATAAAATAACTTTTCAATAAGAAATTGAAGAAACCGATTGTAGAGTTTTACACTTGATGTAACAGATTAATTTTTATCATATATGATCTAAGTTCTTATTCATTTATTGTCTATATAAAAATGACTCTATTCTCGATAAAATCATCTTGATTAGAAGAATAAACGTTTGTGTAAAGAGAAAATCTAATACTTGCTTTCTATTTTAAGCATCATCTGGTGAGGAAAATCAAGATGGTACAATAACTTATGATCGTCTCTTACCAACAACACATTCATATATGAATGTTGAAAATTTTCAAGAATTCAGTGGTGTTTGTTTATTATCTGATGATCGTCGTTGTCTTTTACATATTGTTGAATTAGCAAATATGATTTTAATACCAAACCAAATTGTCCCATGGCAAGTCTTTAATACACGTACAGCACGAATGATTAAAGAAGCTAAACAAGAAAATCGTTTATTTGGTGTTATTGATGCATGTTCATCATTGTTAACAAAAGATCCAAAATATGGTACAACAGCTGAAATTGTTTCTTATTATGAAGAATCCAATGATGATTCATTACAATTAAAAATTATTGGTCGTCAACGTTTTATTATTGATGATCCATCAACAATGAAACGTGATTTAAATGGTATGCTTCGTGCTTATGTAAGAATTTTACCTGATATGCAATTAAAACGACCACCATTACCAGCTATAAGTCAAAATTATATTCATACAATCAATTTTGTATTACAATATGATCTGCGTTTACAACGACAAAAACGTTTAAATCAAAAACATATTAATGATAATGAACAATCAACTATTGGATGTGGACAAGCATTAATTAATTTAATTAAACGAAAACGATCAACATCATCATCATCATCAATAACTTCACATGATATAAAAGGTACATGAAAAGAATTTAATCAATTTTAAAATAAACAATTATTTTTTCTTTTAGGTTTAGAACTTCCAAACCTTTCAAAACAACATTTATTTCGTATGCGTTCTCGTACATGTCCTTGGTCTTTAACACCTTATCCATATTGGGTTGTACGTCGATATGATGATGCATATATTATGTCATTAGTTAAACTTGAATTAAGTAATACAATGTTAGCTAATGATGATGGTTCATTACCTGTAACATCAGATCGTTTTGCTGATTGGTTATTAATTAATATTCCATTTGAAATTCAAACCGTACAAAAAATTTTATCATTTCCTACAACTATTCAAAGATGTAAACATGTTTTATTGATATTTCAAAAATAAAAATAAAATCAAGATTCTGTTTTTTTTTCTGTCTAGTACGTTTTGTTTTATCTTGGCTGAAACGTTATAAAAAATTTGCTTGTCGTCATTGTGCAGCAGATATTTGTGAAGATCGTGATATATTTTCAATGTCTGCAACAGGATTAATGGCAGCATATGTTAATCCTCATGGACAAATTCATGAAACATTAACTGTTCTTCAAGCAAAAAATATTCGTCTACTTGGTCATGAAGTAGCTGAACATTCATGGTTTCCTGGATATAAATGGACAATAGTTCAATGTCGTTTATGTGGTAATCATCTTGGTTGGCGTTTTCGTAATTCATCACTTAAACCATCAACCTTCTATGGTTTAACTCGTAATGGATTGATTTTTGCTAAGAATACGACAGGTAGTGATGAAGAAGAAGAGATAGACGAGGAACGACCAGCACAACAACATTCGACAGATGATGAAGAAGAACATTAACTACTCTTTTGTATATAATTCATTGTATACTTGCTTGATTTTTTTTTATACAATAAATAGTAGCCGTAGGCAGCACAATATCTCATGTATACGAATCATATATATTTTTGTTGTAAACATGAAATACAAAATAAAATATGTTAAATTTTCGTTTTTGTTGGTAGATGGAGATAGTTGTCAATCATAGAATGTCTACATTTTTCTTTTTAAGATTATCTTTTTAATTTATATAATATATTGAAATAATTTTAATTTATTCTACGATTATAATTTTATTTGAGTTTGTGTTTGTTTTATTTTATTTTTTGAATACTTTTTATGATTCGTTACTTGATTGTGTCCATTGTATGTGAAACAGTATTGGGAAAGGGACAGTGTACTGTTTACTTTCTTTTCTCTCTTTCTTTTCGTTTTATTAAGATAAAAATGATTTCGTTTGTTTTTTCGTCAGTTTACGTTTCAGATTTATATATTAAGTTTTCTATAAAACATGTCCGGCTACGGTAGAGATTCTGGTGGCGGTGAAGGGTGAGATGTTCATTAGCGACACGTTTTTTATTTCTTTGTTTGACATGTTTCCATTTTTTGTATATCTAGATATGGTGGTAGTCATTCAAGTAATGATAATCATTCAGGACGATCAAGCGGTAGTCGAAATAATTATGATAATAACAGGTAGTTTGATTAATATTTTTTTGTAGCATTAATTTATTTACTTATTCGTTGCCATTTGTAGTGGACAAAAAAGAAGTTCTGATTATAATTCACGTGGCGGTGGAGGTAAAAAACTTTTTTCATGTCTTGTATGTCGGTTTTTGGAATTTCAAAAATTGACACTCCATACAAGATGATGAATGGCACCAGCACACACTTTGTCCTCTGTGCAGGTTCTGGAAGCGGAGGTGGTGGTAGTTACAATCGTGGTCGCAATGACTATCAAAGTGATGATAGAGGTAGCAGTGGACATAATCGTGGTCGAAATGATTACAATGATAATGGTGGTAGTGGTGGTGGAGATGATCAGCGTATGGAAACTCAACGAGACACAATTTTTATTCAAAATTTACCACGCAATGTAACTAGTGAAGAACTTAGAGAAGTATTCAGTCAAATTGGAATAATTAAAGTAAGATAGAATTCTTTTAATAGTTTATATACATATATATATATATATATTTTTTTTTCTTTTTTTTGAAAATTTATATTTTCTTTTGATAGAATGATAGAAAAACAGGTGCACCAAAAATTTGGATTTATAAAGACAAGGCAACTGGTGAAGGTAAAGGTGAAGCAACAATTACATATGAAGATGAAGAAGCAGCACAAGCTGCTATCAATTGGTATAATGGTAAGATTGTTTTCATTTGTTTTATTTCACATGTTATATTTATTGTTTCATAAAAACAGACAAAGAAGTTCTCTCAAATATTGTTAAAATCTCATTGGCCACTCGGCGTGCTTCTGCTTTGGGTGGCCGAGGTGGATTTCGTGGCCGTGGTGGATTCCGTGGTCGAGGTAAACGCAGATGAATAAATGGGCATTGTTTTCAATGTTAATATACATTTTTTATTTGTCATTGTAGGAGGAGGTGGTGGTAGCTCCAGTGGAAGTGGTGGTGATTATGGTGGATATCGTGGTAGAGGTGAATATTTTTTTTCTTTTACTTTTTATTAATACAATTGCGTTTATTTCATATCAGGTGGAGATCGTAGTGGTGATTATCGTGGTAGTGGTCGTGGTGCGAGCCATGGTTCAAGCAGAGACAATCGTTCTAATCCATATTAAAAAAAGTTCTTCTGTTCCATAGAAGAGATTGTTTCAGCAAAAGCCACAAACATCCGTCAGCAAAATGCACAATGTGTCTATTTTTTTTCTTTTGTTGTTGTTTTCTTTTTCTACTGCTACTCCTCGAAGTCGTCTCTCAATGACGAACTTTTTTCGTGTCTTTTTTGTTCTTTGTACAAGTGGTTGTCTTTGTCTTTCTCTTGAAAAACATGAAACATACAGAAATAACCTATGAGGTTATCGTGTATTTTTCTTTTCTATAAGTGTCAATGTATGTGTGTGTGTGTGTGTATGGCAACAATAAAAAACAACTGTATATCTGTTTGAACGTTTATTTTTATTAGTGTATTATAGATGGTGTTGAGAATGTTACTTTACGATAACATTTATGAATAATGAGATGCTTTGATATGATAGAAATACGCGAAGATTTGGCATAATTAAAAGGTATTTAGTCGATCTGAGTGTTATCCTAGAAAAATGAGACAACTAAAGTAAAATGAAAAAGAGTTGCAAGATTAACTGATTTCCACTTGAGATTCTATAGTAATAAAAAAATATTTTATTTGATACATAAAAATGAATTTTTATAGGTATTCATTGAAAAAACAAAAAAGTTTTACTGATGAAAGGGCTTTGTTATTACATATACACATTCAATTTAGGTAGGTAGTTGGATTCGTGAATATGTCAAAAACAGTGTCAGTTCCGAATTGAATTGAATCTATTTTGGACTTTTTCTAGTGTCTGTTTGTTTATTTTCTACGGTAGGATGTACGTGTGGGTGGCTGCAGAAATGGTATTTTTACCTATATATCCTCAAGTTATGGTAAGGAGAAAGAGAAAATAATGAAATAGATGATGCAAATGTATATGTTTTCTTTTTGCTTGTTTTTATATCTAATAAGTCTCACTTCTCACTCAAGGAAGATGATTTTGGCTAAAAACAATTTGATTGTGAGATTTTTTACATAGTGAGATAGTCCAATATAGTCTACTTTCGAACACATTATGATTTATAGATTTTACGATGATTTTTAGGGTTATACAGACGTTTAACTAAAGCTATCGAAGTCAGAGAAAAAGTGACTGCTTGAAACCTTCATCTATAGATGCTTTTTGAACTTTTAGAGATTATCAATAATGGAAAAATTGACGATCGTGCACCGGATGATATACACCACAGGCATTCGAATTAGGAGACTTTTGTTAATATTTGAAGTTAAAAATTGTTATGAAAACTATTTATCTGAAGAACTTTCAAGTGTCTTGTATCGTGTCATACTTTTGAAATGTCTTAAACAGTATCTCAATAATTCGATTTCTTCATGAATTTTGCATGATCTAAATGTATTTCGAAAATTCCAAAACACTTCATGGAACTTCAAAAAAACTTAATGAAATTTTGAAATACTCCAGTAGACTTCAGGACTGAAGTCTCTATTGTTTTTCCCTCGGATATAAGCCAATCGGCTGAGTCGTTATTGTCGGAACAAAAATTTACATTGTAGATTTTTTAAAAATTACGATTGCTAAGATCATTTTTTCGAGAATGTATTTGTTTACTTTTTTGTCGTTTTGATCTCTGATTTTTTTTGTGTTTTTTTTCTATCTGAAAAGTTCCTGAAACAGAAAAGGTTTAGGAAATCTCCCAAAACATTCAATCATCGTGGCTACCGAATGAAAAAGAAGTAACACTAAACATAATCATCATTATTAATCTACTTATCGGTTTACATTTCTGCTTACAGGAACGGGGAAAAAATCTTTGTTTACGCGTGCGAAAACGGGAATTGAAGAAAGCCCTCCTCACAGGACACTAGTGAGAAAAACAAAACTCGAGTGATTAATTGTTTGATTAATTCAAACTTCATTAGACACATTAAAGCTATGGAGAAAAGAGTTTGACATAACACTAGGAGTGTTTTGAGAAATGCATCACTATAATTTAAAGAAATAAATTGATCGGAAAGATTTAATATTCTATTCAAAGCGATAAACATTTCTATTTATAGAAACATTACTTTTTAGTTTAATTATTCGCATGATAGATTTGAACCAAAGAAAGTGACTGATTTGCTATGATACTCTAGAATTTAATTGATAGCTAAATAATTGAAATTATTAACTAATAATATTGTTTCGAAATCAAATGACAGAATCATAATAAAACTTATTTTAATAAAGTATCAATCAATACTTGAAATATTTATCTAAATCGAATAAGTATGACTGATTCTAACTTCATTTCAAATGATCTGTATGAATTTAATGATAATTATCGATCAATAGTTGGCATCTCAATCAAAAACAGAATGAAATAATATGCTCACTTTTTATTAGATGAAGTAATTTCTCATACGAAATTATTAAACCTAAATATACGAGCACAAGAGAAACAAATTTTATTTTTGTACATACTTACAGAAGTCGTAATTAATTGTTTCATTGTTTTCACAAAAAGAAAAAGAATTTACTGAAAATTTTCAAAATTTCAGACAAGTTGTTTTATTCAATTTTTCTTATTCAAAACAGCACATTTATAATCTTTTACAATGTTTTTTTAAAACATTGCTATCATATGAAATGGTCCATTAAAGTTATACGTTCATATAGAATCGTTTATTCTGAGAGACGAACAACTGCGATGTACTACTGTCTTCTCGGATTGGTTAATGATCTTCTAAGACACATCTTCATTGTAAAGAAAAATACTCTCATCTATATCGAATTTGGCTTCTCTACAAATATTCTTTTTTTTTTGAATACGGATAATACTCTATGATTTTTTTAGTTTTTCATAGACAAAAACTTTTAAGGAAAGGATCAACAATGTTGACATAAAGCATGGTGATCGTTCAATGAATTTAAACAACTTCTGACGAAGGCCAGTGTTTTCTTGTCAGAAAAAGATTATTTTTCTAATGATAATGCACGACATCTGCCAGTGGTTTTTCCATCGATAAGTTTAGAACAATGGCTCGAATAAAAAAATGAGTCAATCACTTTGTCTATCTATACTATACGTGCTATATTATCAGTAGTGTGATTAACATATTCGATTTACACTTTCATTTTTCTAAACACTATATTTATACTGATATTACTAATGACTTCTACTATGATGAATAATAATAAAAGCAGCAGTACTTTACCAGAATCAATGCAGCGTATGATTACACCTCATTACGAGCAGATCGTTAATGAAATTGAAAATATTTATCATCATCCTGACATAGGTTGTTCGTGGCCTTTTTAAAATCTTGTTTATATTCATATTTGAAATCTGTTTAGGACTTGTTACAATTGCCCGATGGCTTGGCCTATCTATCATGGCACCAAATAAGAAGATAAGTATATTACTTATTGGCAATCATAGTGCTGGTAAATCGATCTTATTTTTATTGACACATAGACAATTTAGTTTTGTATTTCGAAATAAAAAGGAAAATCATCTCTAGTCAATTGGTATATTGAAGATAATGTTCAACGTACTGGAGTAGCTATTGAAACTCAAGGTAAATCGATTAGAATAAAATCATCACTTGTAATAACTACATTTGTATTTACAGGTATATCCATTATTACAAGTGGTAAACGACGAGAATCACTCATGGTAAAGTCAAAGAAGGAGAAATAAACAAGCTAAATGTATATATATATATATCGATTAATTTCTAGGGTCCAGCGACAATGCGTTTATTTCCTTATCTTGATCCATTGGGAAATATTCCTGGTCAGTTATTTCTTTTTCAGTTTTTTCTTATGAAATCTTTTCTAGGTCTTCTTAACTATTTAACTACGGAAATATCTTCATCAAAACAAAAGAAATTTCCAATTGTTTCATTTATTGATACACCCGGTCTTGTTGATGGTGCTATGGCATATCCATTCGATGTTGAACAAGCAATTCTATGGCTTGGTTTGTACCAAATTTTTTTTTTCGTTTTTCAAAACAAAGAAATTGTTTTTTTTTTCAAGGTAATCATGTTGATCTCATATTTGTTTTATTCGATCCTATTGGCCAAGCCTTATGCAAACGAACATTAACACTTGTTGAACAATTAAATAAATCAAATCCAGAAAAGATGCATTATTATTTAGCTAAAGCTGATGAAGCTGGTAGTGATCGTGATCGACATCGTGTTCTTATGCAAATTGTACAAAATTTATGTCGACAACCAGAAATTTCTAAAACAAATTTTGATATGCCAACTATTTATTTACCTGATTTAGCTAAAGTAAAACAAAGCATCATACTGAAATATAATGGATGTCTCAGAATAAATTCTACTACATTTTCGTGCTTTTTTTCTCTTACTTCCTAAGCATCAGAATTTTTCTTTATATGCTAAAAGATATAGAAGTTCAAGCTGTAAAAAACTATCAACTTTGTTTTTCAAACAAGTTCCACTGTGTCGACGCCAAATTTAAAGGATTTATGTCTACTCAATCATTTCACTGCAATTTCCTATTCTTCGCTGACGCTTATTGATTTGTGTAAAGGCTTTATTCATCAAAATCAATGTCAAAAGTAAATTATTTAAATAGTAATAGCTAGAGAATTTTGTGTTCTATGCTTCAATAACGTTTTCAAGGTTGTTGAGGCTGATGTTTACGAGAAAAAGACTTGGAACTACCAATTATCGGTATTTTTGAGTCCACTATAGAAAATCATGTTTTCAAAAGCCAGACTTACTCTTTAAAAAAATTATTATTATACTGTTGGATGCAGGATTTAATTCTGAACAAAACAGTATAAATATCAAATAGAACCGTGAAAATATTTTTAGTGTTTCGAATTAGAAAACGGCAATAATATAGGTCTAAAATTCTGAAACATTTATCCAGAGATGCAGAAATTCAAAGGAAATTGTGTGACATAATTGAAAACTCGTCAGGACCTTTATGAAAAAATTGTCATCAGTGTTTTTTTGTTTTCCTGACCGTCGTAATTGGACGCCTAAGTAGATGTTCCTCTTCTAAATTTTATGCTGACA